GTTCACTCTCTCTCTCCTGCTAGCCCTGAGTAATCCTTGCTGCCCTGCTGGGCGGCTAGAGGAGCGAACCAGAGAGGGGAGCCGTCTCGGACCTAGCAATAGAAATAAGGTAACTGAGTCTGTGTGTTTTATTTCAATTTCTTCTAACTAACTTTATGCCTAGAACCTCATTAATGAAACCATTGCACAGGCCGCGTGGTAGAAATTTGTGTTCTTGTGTGCTACTGGGAATTGAACCCACTGTACTACATCCCCAGAACTTTTTTATTTTAGTTTGAGAAGGTCTTGCTAAGTTGCTTAGGCTGACTTGGAACTTATGATCCTCCTGCCCCCTCAATCTCTCAAGTTGCTAGGGTAACAGACAAGTGCCACTGTATGTGGGTTCAAATAAAAGCGTTTTGAAAAGAGAGAAAATATTTATGTTATGTTTTATACTTTTCCTAAGATTTGTTCATAGAGAATATTAAAAGTAAGCACTGTATATACTTTATAAAAATAAATATAATAATATTGAGTACAGAAATAGTGAGAGAAGATAAGCATTGAATTCTGTATTTCCTTTTTTTTATATTAGACCTTTTTTATTCCTTGACTTGTTATGTATCAGGAATGCTAGACAATTATTCTACCCATTGACCTATATATATTCAGCACCAAAACTTTTAAAGTAAGTCTCCCTTCTATCTCATTACTATTATTAAGTTTCATTATCTTTTTTCCCCCTTGATCATACCGACATTTGCCAGATACTTAAAACTTTATCTTTTTGCCACTGTTGGTAACCTTAAAATGAATGTACTTTTCTCTTTGTCATATAAATTCTATACATATGTAGTTATTAAATTCTTTGCATGTTAAGGGGAAATTAGAATTATAAAAATCCAATGAGGCAAGAAATTGATACCAGTGGAATAAAAGGACATATTTTTAATGTTTCCTCAGTTTCTACTAGACTTATTTTTATTGTGTATATTTTGGTTTGATTATTTGTCCTGGAGATTGAACTCAGTAATTCTAATTATGAAAATTATGAAAAATCAAATTATAAGAAAAAAAAAGTTTATTTAGCAAAATGTTAAAAAATCAAAAACTACCTTGAGATTTCATCAGTTATTAAGGACACAAATAATACGAAGTATTGGTGAGAATATGGGGGGAAAGGTCCATTTACACATTGTTGGTGGTTCTGCTTGTTAGTGGACTTCTCTGGAAAGTGGAAATTGCTCAAAAGTCTAAGAATGGAACCACCAGAAGACCCAGCTGTCCCACTTCGGGTATATATGCAAAGGATTAAAATCTGCATATTACAGTGAAGCAGTCACATCAATGTTTATTTTTAGCAGTGAAATTTATAAAAAACAAATTATGAAATCAACCTAGGTGCTTTTCAACAACTGAGGATAAAGAAAATATATGTACACAACAAAAATATTACTCAGCTGTAAAGAAAATGAAGTTATGGAATTTGTATAATTTAAAAAATCAGTGGATTTAATGGAGATGATTTTGAGGTAAAGGAGTTGGGATTGGACTAGGAAGAACAGTGAAGAGAATCCAACCTAACTTTTCTATGTGCATGTCTACATACACTATAGTAAATCCTTCAATCCATAGAGATTACCTAAAAAACAAAACAAAACACAACTAAGCAAATAGCAGAAAGACCAGTAGAATAGAGAGAAGGGGAAAGGGTGAGGAAAGAGGGAAGGAGAACTAGAGACTGAATTAGAAAAATAATATTTCATCTTTTATAATATCAAATGAATTCTAAAATTAGGTATAACTAAAAAGAACTAATAAAATGATAAAAAACCACATTGATCTGAACTCAAGTATTAAGTTGTCCATGTTAACAAAGCTATTAAAATAGCAACTGATATTTTACCTAAATGATATGTGTTAACCAATTTTATAGAGTCTCAAAAAGTTTTAACATGAGTTGAAATTAATCTCTAGAACTCACTTAACTGTAGTAATACTCATATCTTATTATGTCAAGAAATTTGTAACCTTTGTCATACGATTTCTTTAGAATTTTATAGATTCTTTGTTCTTTTTGGGGAGAGGTTGTCAGGGGTTAAACTCAGGGGCACTTGATTTCTGAGCCCCATCCCTAGCCCTATTTTGTATTTTAATTAGAGATAGGGTCTCATTGAATTGCTTTGCACCTTGCTTTTGCTGAGACTGGCTTTGAACTGACAATTCTCCTGCCTCAGGTTCCTGAGCTGCTGGGACTCACAGACTTAGGCCATTGTGCCAGGCTTAGATTCTTTATTTTTAATAGCTTATTTTACAAGTAGATCTTTGAGTTGAATTCTGCAGAGAGCTTTGTTTTGATACAGTACAATTCATGTACTTCAAATCTCATTATACTGAAATTTGTTCAGAATTATTTTCTTTTTCTAGTATAATAATGATAACTTTTTTTTTCTTCTTTCTTTCTTTTTTTTTAGGTACAGAAGCTGTACAGGAATGACGTGCTTATGGTGAACATAGGATCCATGTCTACAGGAGAAAGAGTTAGTGCAGTTAAGGCTGATTTGGGTAAAATAGTTCTCACTATTCCTGTGTGCACAGAAGTAGGAGAAAAAATTGCCCTTAGCCGAAGATTTGAGAAACACTGGCGGTAAGTCTGTGAATTTGCAACTGTTTAGTTGCAAAAAATCAGCATATTTTCTTGTGGGACTTTGTTTTTGATAATGTTCACACACACACGTTCCTGATGTTATTGAGCAGTTCTTATGACTTAACTTTTAGCTACATATTTGGATATGTACTATATCAATCTTTTAAACCATTTTTAATTATTCATTGAAATAATTTTATTTATATTATTGTGTATTCCATCTTTGTCATCTATCTTTAGAAATATTTTTAAATTTTTCAGAAGTGCAAATCTGTCATTAAACAATCACTTTACTTTCCCCATCTGGCAACCCCATTGTTGGTGTATTAATTTGAGCATACTGATTACTTCCTCTAAGTCATGTAGCATATATGGAGTGTATATGTATGCGTATGTGCGTGTATGTGTGTGTGAAAATATATAAATTTAAATTTTTTAGTTGTGAATGGACATAATACTTTTATTTTATTTTTATGTGGTTCTGAGAATCGAACCCAGTGCTTTCTATAAGCAGGGCAAGCACTATACCAATGAGCTACAACCCCAACCCAGTATTTATATTTTAATGGTTGGCTTATTTCTTTTAGAATAGTGTCCTCAAGGTTTACCCATGCTGTAGTGTAGGTCAGAATTTCTTTCCTTTTTAAAGTTGAATAATAATTTATTATTGTATATATTTTGCCTATTTATGTGTCAACAAACACTACATATGCATCTATTAAGGCTATTGTAAATTGTACTGCTATAAATTGCCGAAGTCAGGCCGGGCACAATTCAGGAGCCACTTGTCAAAAGAAACCAACTTTATTTTTAGAACTACAAACGCCAAACAAAACAGCTCCTCAGGAAAAACCCTCAGAGCCCAACCGCCACCACTGGCTTCCACAAGCCTCTTGCACCTCCCCCACTCCTCCTGCTCTTGAGGCCGATTGGCTGGGTCGCATGGGCAGAGCCAAAGAAGTCTCCCAATGAGCAGCTCCGTGGTCTGAAAGGGTAGGGAAACAGCCCAATGAGCAGCTCCGTGGAGGAGCCAATCAGCTAGATGTTGCTGGGGCCGCTGTGAGCCAATCATCAGCTGGCAGTCTGAAGGGCAGGGAAACAGCCCAATGAACATCACCGCATAGGAGCCAATCAGCTAGATGTTGCTGGGGCCACTGTGAGCCAATCATCAGCTGGCAGTCTGAAGGGCAGGGAAACAGCCCAATGAGCAGCTCCACAGAGGAGCCAATCAGCTAGATGTTGCTGGGGCCAATGTGAGCCAATCATCAGCCGGCAGCTGGAAGTTTGCTGGCAGCTGGAAGTTTGCTGGGGCCCCTTTGGCTGTGGCTCTCAACAATAAATGTATTGTATAAATATTTCTTCCAAGATTATGCTCTAAGTTCTTCTGCTGTATTCATCCAGGAGTGGAATTGCTAGATTTTAATTCTGTTGTTAATTTTTTAAAGAAGTATATACCATTTTTAATAGAAGTTGCCTATAAGTTTTGGTATTTGGTATTGTTTTAATTTTTCTCTTGTCTCATAATTTTTATTAATTCCTTTTTTCATCCATTTTTTAAGAAGTTATTTTTTATGTATTTGTGAGTTTTTTAGTTACCCTGTTTTAACCATAATCTGTGTGTTTTTAGATCTAAAGTGACTCTTTTATTTTAAAAAGTATGAATTTCTGTTTTTCAATCCATTCACACAGTTCTTTTAAGTGTTTTAATACATAGATTTTAAGTGTTTTACTACAAAGAAATTTTAAAAGTACTAAAATATTGTAAAATATTTTCCAGCTTTTTTCTCATTTTTAATTTCATTGTCTTTTTGTTGTTAAACCTTTTGATGTATTTGCATTCCTTTGTGGGTATGTACCAGTTTGATCCCAAAACCCTAGTGTTTACTGATATCTTTAATTTTAAATCTTTTATACAGTAGATCTATTAACATAAATTTATAATTATACTTTGGATTTTCAAACCCTGAAAACATTTTTTAAAAACAAGCTCTTAATTTTATTGGCTTTTATACTACATAGAAGTTCTTTATTAGAGAACTCATATTTCATATGACTTCAAGTTATCCTGATGTCTTTTGTTTGAAGGACTCCCATTAAGCATTTTTTGAAAGACAGATCTAGTGTTTAGTGAATTTTCTTTGGTTTTTATCTGGAAAATTTTAATCTCTTCATTTTTGAATGTCAACTTTATCAGATGTGGAATTCTTAGTTTTCTTTTAATACATATCATATACTATTACTTCTGATTTATTCTGAGAAATACACTGATAGTCTTATTTAGGATCACTTTTAGATGATGAATTGTATTTTTCTTATTGTTTTCAATATGTTGTTTATTAATACAGGCAATAATAATCATTTGTTTTGACATGGATCTGAGTCTTTCATGTAGAATTCTTTGACCTTTTTTTAACTTGTATGCCCATGTGTTTATGTTTGGTGAATTTGAAAATATTTTTTATTCAAATGAGTTCTACTCTTTTTTTTTTTAAATCTATGCTCTTTGATCATTTCATATCAAATGTTTCAAGTTGTTGATTCTTTCTATTGACTTTTACCATTGAGTTCCTGTAGTAAATATTTCAATTTAGCCATTATATTTTTATCTGTGAATTATCTTCTAGTTCTTCATAATGTCTGTGTTTTTATATTAACATTTTATTTACATATTGTTTTCTAGTTTATTTTGTGTTTGGTTAAATGTGATGTCTGTGTTCTTTGGGTTTTGTTTTTGGAGATGTATTGTGGTCATTGGAATGGGTTTTTCTTGAGATGTTTATAAAGTGGACATTTGAAAAATCAACTGTCTTTGCTAGTCTTCATAGACTGTATGCCTGGAATGACCTTCATTAATCATACCAAAAAGAAGACTAAAGGTCTTTTTAGACATCGTTTTTCTTGGGCTTGTATGTATGCTTTTTCCCAATTAATTTTACCACATATGTGGCAACTTTTAAAAAATTTTGATAGTGGTGCTAGGTATACAAAACAGGGCTATTGCATCCTGGGTGAATGTTCTACCACTGAGATATTAATTTCAGCCAGCCCTCTTGTGGCTGGCTTTTTTTTTTTTTTTCTTTTGATACAGAGATCTCCTTATATTACTCAGGGTGACCATGAACTTGTTCTGTCCCCAGCTTCCCAAGTAGTTGGAATGCAGGCATGTACCACATGCCCAGCTATATGTCCCTTTTTAAATATTTTTATTTTCCACCAGAGTTTGACCTTGCTGATGCTTTGGATTTAGCTGTTGTAGTAGATTTCTGTTTCTGTAATCTTTACCTCTAGGCCCCAAATCTTTGAAGTTTGACTCTTTTTCTTCCATCCTATGAAAGGAATTAGGAATTCATTGACTTTCATTGCTCAGAATTGTTTCTGGGAAGTAGTTGGGCAAAGGTGAACAAAATGCCATGAAATTTCCTATTTTTGGTGTATTTTTTTCTTAGCTTATCATTCACTTCTTACTAGAGATCTTTATAGATTTCCCACAGATCTACTTTAGTCATTATACTATTGCTTATTTGGTGTTTCTACTAGGGAAACCAGGTCCTTGAGTCTAGGAAAGTCTCATAGTTCTGACTTTCTTCTTGGTTTTTAGAATTGTAGCTTTTAACTGATACCTGGTTTTACTAAAAACAGACCAGCATGGACAAGAGCAGACTATGGTATCAAGGATGGTAGGGTGTTCCTTTACTATTAAGAATAATCTCTTTGTGATCTACATGATCTTCTATTTCTTTATTTTTCCTTAAGATCATTAGAACCTTTTTAGGTGTTGTCAAAGCACTTGGCATATTTCAAGAGAAAAGAATAAATATTGATATACCTTATTAGATTGGGCTGAGGTGTTTGGTGTATTTCTGTGGTTCCCTAAAGAGACTTTCAGAATTTTTCTTTGCTACTCTGAATTGGTGGGTATATTGTTTTAGGCACAAATGTTGTAGAAACTTGCCATTCTCCTTTTTTATGCTCACAGGACCCATCTGTAATGGTCTAAGAACCTAAGGAGATAGGGGGAATATTTCTTTTCCAAGAAGATTTTGTAAGTGCAAGTTTAAATTTAGAATTAGACAAAAAGAAAAAACAAAAAACAGTTATGTCACAATTAGATGGTAATGCTAATAGGATCGATTTAAGATTTATGATTTCTTTTATTTTCATTTTGCAGTTTAATTGGTTGGGGTCAAATAACAAGAGGAGTGACCATCAAGCCAACAATAGATGATGAATGAAGAATTACAGTTAAATAATATGTTTTGATGAAACCAGAATTTTCTAAACAACCTACGGGTACATTTTAAAGCAAAAACTAGGAAATTTATTTCACATCTCATTATTTTAGAAGCTGTCAGGTTATTTTCATTTTTGTTAGGAAATCTAAATATATGCCACTTAAATAGCAGGGTCTCTAGTCTCTAATAAATATAAAAATTGGTATGTTAATGGACGTAATCTACATTTTAGTAGAAGTTGATTACTGCCAGTCATTTTCAGATTTATATGTCAATGCAGCTTTGAAATGAAATTGGTTAGTACAGCCAGGTTTTGCTGTGTCACATGTAAGTAAACTTGCTTCAAATAAAGTTTTTCTTCTTAATTTCTCATGATTCATGTTTGAGTATTGCCAGGATTCAAGGACTACTGCACCAGTAGAAGTTTTAAAAGATGTGTTCTTGAACACTGGCTCTATTTTTACCTCCATAAGAGTGGTTCAAATAAAAAAAAAATTTTTGAGCCTGATATCTGATTTACATTGGCCAAGCTTTCTGGAAGTCTGCTTTCAGGGAGCTGATGACAGCTTTCTTCATCCTGTTTCTTGATGCCCTCAATTTTTTTCTTTTTTATTACTACTAATCCCCAACAGTTCTTCCCTGTTGGAAATACTATTACAAAAAATACTTCTAAATAAGTTCATGTTTAACCTTAGTATAATGTCATAATCTTATTAAATTGATATGCTTAGAATGTTTCTGCTAACAAGAAGGAAGTAGGGTTTTTTTTTTCCATATAACCATTTAAAATTAATGAAATTGGGGAAAAAAGCCATTAGAAGGCAAAATATTGATATTTTTAAATAAGCAGTATTACAAGTGCTTTGTTAATTCCATTTTTAAACCTAAAAGTTCATTGGTTATCCAACTAGTCAGTAATAATTGTTTAGAAAACTTGTGCTTGTGATATTATAGATTTAATGGGTTATAGGAATATTTTATAATATTGATTATATTGTGAAAAATCTTAAGGATGACAGACAAATGCATTCAGACCTTTGATTTCAGAGGCTTCACGGCCACAGGAGTTCTTCTATAAAATTCATAGTAAGAATTCTTTTCTTTTAATATGAACATGGTGGTGCAAGACTATCCCAGCAACTCAGTAAGCTGTAACAGAATGATCACAAGTTTGAGATGGTTGTCTCAAAATAAAAAAATAAAATAAAAAAGGGCTGGAACATACATAGCTCAGTGGTGGAAGGCCTCTGGTTTCAGTTTTCTGTACTAACACAAACACACACAGAAAATGTGTATAATTGAATCACTTTATATGTACACTTATATCAAAGCCTTGTTTTACACCACAAATACTATTTTCACTTATTAATTATACTTTAATAAAAAACTCATGTAATCCAGTCTGTCCCAGAAAATACTCTCTCTGCTGTTAAGTAAAGTGAATACTTATTTTTTTTATGGTTGGCACTATTCTGAGTTACTTACGTATAGTAATTTGTCTAAAAGACCCAGCAGGTTTATTTCCTACATTTTACATTGAAGAAATTGAAGCCAAATTAGATAGGAAGTTTGCCTCACCTCATTAGTAAGAAAACTATTATTCAAACCTCAGCAATCACCTTCAACCATAAAGTTAACATTTTTCCAGTGTTGGCTGTATTGGTTTATATTTAAATAGTGAGTTTTGTACTCCTTAAAAGCTTTTCATTCTTTTTTTTTTCTTTTTTGTGGTTTTTATTATTGGGAGTATTCCTTTATGACGGGGGTGTGGTGTTGTTTTTTCTTTGGTGGGGGGTGTCTTAGTTTTTACATATGTTGAGGCTGTAAAAATAAATTGACAAAATATGTCTTTATGAAATAAATATCCAATATTAATGTTTTGGGTTACTATTAGCTTACTGCTGTGAATGTATCTACACTAGCACAATTTTAGTTAGCATCTCCCTGGCACATATGTATATTTTTTTCATTCTTTGGCCTTTTTACAGTCAGTTTTACATACCATCTATTATATCATTTCAGGCTTCTATTTCTGCAGAAGATAAGAGAAAATATACATTCATATGTGCCTGTAATATAATGGATAAAAGTATTTTATGAAGTTTTGTTGTAGCATAACTGGGGAGTAGCCTGTGATGTATTATTGGTTCTTTGCCAGCAATATGCCTACAGATTTGCTACCACATTTTATACTATATTTTACATAGTACTTGTTACAATAAAATCATTTTTCCCCAATATATTAATTACTTAATTTTAATTGTTCTTTTTAGATTACAGTAGAGACAAACAGGTAGAGCCTTTAAAAATATTCTTTCCTCTCTAATAACAGTTAGTTTTTATATAGAACTTAATTCTGGTTTTTGTTATATAGCTCAGTGATTGAGTGCCCTGGTTTCTATCGCCAGTACTGCAACAGCAGCAACAAAAATATAAAAACTCATAGAATTGAAGTTTATGGGGTACTAGAGAATAAAATTATTCTCAGATTTACTTATGACTAGATAGCATTCCAAGTCTTGAGGAAGGGTGTTGTTTGGAAGGAAGTGATTTTAAAGTATGGGCATATTTTTAAATATATTTATTCCTTTTGCAAATGTAAAAACTTGCTTTGGAAGATAATTCCTCTTTTGTCATTAATGACCAGCTTCTGGTGTAGGAATAACCAGTGTTTAAGGCTGAGGTGGAAGGAAGCAAGGCAGCTGAAGCTAAAAGGTAACTGACTGAATTTTAACTCAGAAGTAAAAAATAAATAACAGGTTTTGTGTTTAAATGTTAATAAATACATAAATTTCAAATACTACAGATTTTTTTTTATCTGGGAGGTGTAACTGCAGAGATGCGAAGTATTTAACCTTCCTCTGTCCATATTAAGTAATTAAGATATTTTAAAAATGCTTGTTATATTCTCTGTGTACCTAAAGTCTAGTTAACACTTATGTTCTTTTACAAAAAAAAAAACAACCTTATCTGCAGCATGGCTGTATCCATACCTGTGGTTTGTAAAAATATATTAATTATTCTTAAGTTGTCCAAAGGTTGGAGTCTTATAAACATCTTCTTCCTAAAAATGTACCTTTGTAAATGGAATACTGAATCTACATGTAGTATTTGAATTATAGTTTACCCCCCCGGATCTTCAAAGAATTGGTTCTGGTAAACACACCCTTGCCCTACACATATGCAGAAAAATCTGAGAATGTTCACTTATTTGATACACCATATGGTTTCCATATAGCCAGTGTATCCCCATCTATATATTTTTAAATCATCTCTTGTTTACTACTACAATGTGAATGCATTTGTAAATAGTCATTTTTGTTGTGTTTAGGGAATAATGAACATAATAAAATTGTGTTCGGTATATTTGCAACTTTTTTTTTTAAAGTATCTTCAATCTGTTGGTTGGTTCAGTTTGGATGCAGAAACCAAATATACAAATCTACCCTTTCATTAACAAGGTGGCACATGCCTGTAATTCTAGTCATCCAGGAGACGTGGGCATAAGTTCAACGACATCTTCAGCAATTTAGCAAGACCGTATCTTAAAAAGTTAAAAGGATTGAGGATGTAGCTCAGTGGTTAAGTGCCCCCGGGTTCGAAAAAGTAAACCCAAAACAACTAGAATACAGAAAGTTAAATATTGGAAGAAGGATCAGTAATCTTGTTGGTAAATAAAAAAAAAATATTGGCTGAATTTAAATTGTTTGCTTTTTGCTATTTTGAGTTTTTAATATACCATGATGTATTAAAAATTAATTTCAATTGATTCTATTAATGTTAATCTAGTGCTTCATTCCTGGAATAAACCTTAGTGTATATCGTTTTGAGTGCATATCTTATTTTTAAAATATTAGTCTATAGTTTGCCATTTTTATCATTTTAGTTTATTTTGGTATGAGAATTACTCTGACTTGGTAATTAATATGAATTGAGCCATACTTTCCTTTTCAATATTTTGAATGAGCTTGTAGAATATAGTATTATTTCATTCAAGAAGATATTAACTAAGCCTGGTAATTTGTGTTTATTCTTCCTTCTTTCTTTCCTTCCTAGCTCTCTTCATCATTTTCTGTTCTTTTTTGGAAATGTTTGAATTTGTTTAGTATCTTCCAAAAATGTGTTTATTTCATGAAAAATTGTGAATTATTTGGTATAATTGTTGATTTTATTCTTTCATTCTCCCTTTGATGTCATTGACTGTCATCATTTCATTATTGACCTAATTTTAGTAATTTGCATTTTCTTTTAATGACCTAATATTTCGTTGAATGGACATACTACTTGTTTATTCACCAGTTGAAGGAAATTCGGATTGTTTTTACTTTTTAAAAAACAAATTGCCTGGGCATATGGTAAGTACTTTTAATTGTTTGAAGATTTACCAGACTTTTCAAAGCAAGTATATCTATGTTACACTCCTTAAATGTACTATTTTACACTCCAGAAGTTTTGAGAACACTGATTTCTTTTTGAGTTTTTTAGCATTTGTTTATTATCTTCATTCTAGTTGCTTTGTGGGTGTGAAGTTATAAACCCATTGTGATTCTGATTGTATTTTCTTGATTAACAGTAATGTCATGGAGTTTTTTATTTGTGCAATACGCTGCATTCTTAATTTGCCTTTTGGTTATTAGTATGTTTTCTTTGGAAAAACTGCTATTCCATTGCCTATATAAAATGTGTTTAGTATCGAATTAGAAGATATCATTTGATAAAGTCTTATGCACATGTTTTGATTTGCAAATGTCTTTTCCCATTCTGTGATTTGCTTTCATTTTCTTGATAGTTTTCTTCAAAATACAATGTTTTTTATTTGGATATGTTTGATTTACCTATTTTTGTTTTTGTTCATTATTATTTTGTTGATTATTTGTAGTAATATATAAGACTTCTTTACAAATGCATAGTCATGAGTATTTATTCACTTTTGTTGTTTTCAAGATTTCCTTTGAGTCCTGGCAATTACTTATAAATTTTAAAATATTTTTGTCGCAGGAATCAGGGATTATTGTGTTTAATCTGTTAGGTCAATTAGTATTGGCATTTAAAACAATGTTGCTTTCTCATCCATGAAGATAGAATATTTACATCTTTTAAGATTTTTTTTTAAAAAAAGACGTGTAGTGCATATGTTTTTGTACTTTTAGGAGGGTGGGTTTTGGGTTGTTTCCAGTGTTTGTTTTAACTAAAATTACTTGGTTACTTTTGATGTTGAAATTCATCTATTGCTAATGCACAGACATATATTTTTTCTATTTTGTTTTTTTAATTGTAGTAAATTCAAGTAACAATTTGCCATCTTAACCTTTTTTTTTTTTTTTTTTTTTTTTTGGCGTGTGTGTGTGTGTACTCTTTTTCTATTGGGAATTGAACATACCACCTCGTGTATGTTAGGCAAGTAGTTTTTCACTGAACCACATTCCCAGATCCCATTTTAACCATTTTCAGTTGCACA